TTACTCCTGGAAGATACGGGTGAGATTGGTCCCAAACTTTCACACCGATATTACTCCTGGAAGATACGGGTGAGATTGGTCCCAAACTTTCACACTGATATTACTTCTGGAAGATACGGGTGAGATTGGTCCCAAACTTTCACACTGATATTACTTCTGGAAGATACGGGTGAGATTGGTCCCAAACTTTCACACCGATATTACTTCTGGAAGATACGGGTGAGATTGGTCCCAAACTTTCACACTGATATTACTTCTGGAAGATACGGGTGAGATTGATTCCAAACTTTCACACCGATATTACTTCTGGAAGATACGGGTGAGATTGGTCCCAAACTTTCACACCGATATTACTCCTGGAAGATACGGGTGAGATTGGTCCCAAACTAACTTTTACACCGATGTTACTGCATACAAACACAGGCGTGGCAGACGATGCACGACGCCTCAGGTGATAACCTGGGATGCGATGAGTACACGGTGAGAATTTAATAATTGTAAAAGGATCACCACTTGTCAATACCCTCCCTTCGTGTATATGGGAGAGTATCAGCAAACTCATAGCTGTCTTCAAGAGGAAATTCGACAAACTGCTCAAATCATTTCCTGATCAGATGGCTTGTGGTGCATACGTGGGAGAGGGGGTGGCGAAAACCAACAGCTTGATCGATCAAGCCAGTAACCAGGCCTGGTCTGTGACCGGGCCTCGGGGGCGGCGACCTCTGGAAGCGGCTGCAGGTAATCTACAGGTACAGGTATCTTTGGTCATCATTAGTACCAATTGGAAATTTTGGACATCGCACTTGAGCTCTTAGCTTTCTGGTTCGTTTGAGGCACCAGAAAGCATCTTAGAGAAAGATGGGGAGATGGAAGCTGAGACTGTGAGTAACACGAGACAGGTGAACTCAGAGAGTGGGGAAAAAAGGGATAGGTAGGTGGAGCAGGAGTCAAGTTTACCCTCCCACCTGGTGTTGCCAAACCTGCCATGTAACGGCACAGGGTGGAGCTCTGGTCCTAACTTCCCAACAAAACAAAATCCACAACACAATATAAAATTTATTTTAACAGTAACAGTATGCGATAATAAAAAATACCTTTTAAAAGTGGTCTCACCAAGTGAAATGTAGCGTTGCAAGCCTTCACAGTGATCCATTTGTAACCTGGGACGACGAGGAAACGATACAAGGGTTACAATCTTATCTGAAGGGATCAAATATACCTGTGATCAGGTTCGAGATTTTTTCCTTCCCTTGCAGCTCGGCCTGAGGCCAGGCTTAACAAATCTTTGAGGACAACTGTCCTCAAAAATATGTTATACCATGAATTAAATAAAGATCATGGACTTCACCTTACGAAACAGACAAAGCAAATGTGATAATTATGGACAAGGTAGAATATAGTGGGAAAGTGAACATGTTATTAGAAGACGGGGGACTTACGTGCTTCTTAAAGATCACAAGGTGAGGTCGGTCTGCATGTTAAAGTCTCTCTCTCCTTCCCTTTCTCCCTCTTGCACTGAGCTGCATAACACCGCAAACAATGTAGTTGAAGAGCTGCCGGTTAACACCGGAAACAAGAATCTAATCTTTTTATACAAACCAAGAGAAGCCAAATCATAGCGGTTCACAGATCATTTAGTGACAACCGAAAATTATATCGAAAAGCCTCTGAATCTGCCGACGAACATCGTGCTCTCAGTGATTTAAATTCATGACGACTGAAGTGGAAGATTGCAGCATGCACAGTAATAACACACACAGCCTCAGGAGATAGATCACACGAACCGTAATAGGAGCTGTGACTCGACCCCTGCAACCACATATAAGTCAGCATACATCAGCAATTTTGTCTGACAACAGAAAACATATGACTGGAAAACATATGACTGGAAAACGCATTTAAAATTATCTTCTCGAATAACAATGATCTGGCAGGAACACAGCTGGTGTGGAGCGCCATACTTGGGCCACAGAGGTGTGGAAAGTTGTGACCAGCGTAGACACCAGCACCCAGAACCACTATGAAAATTGTGGCGATGGTGACTTTAGCAGATTCGTGCGCCTTGCCATCATACCTGTGAAGGATTCCTGATAAAAGAAATTGGAGCTGTCTCCTCCTCTCATCGGGATCAAATCTGATTACCTCCCATTCCAAGATGCTGTGTCTTTGTGGGTTTAGCACTTCTGTATAAAAGTAATAATAATAATAATAATAAATTATTGATATGCACCACTGAGAATTTGATAAATAACACACACGTACAACACTTACGCATCTTTATTGCCGAAACATTTCGCCTGCACAGCAGGCTTCTTCAGTCGGATACAGGCGAAGACAACACTGGGGAAGTTTGCTGCACAGGAGACAGGTTTCGGCCATGAAGATACCCAAGTGCTGTAAATGTGTCTTATTCATCAAAGGTCATGACGTTGAGCCAGTGGTTACCTATAAAGTTATAGAAGACATTTCCGTAACAAGAATCCAGATGAAGAAAAAAATGACTGCTCAAATATTGAACAATGTATGGCATCAGACCTGTCAATACAGTCAGAGGATAAGCCTCCATGAGGAAAGTGGTGTACCCACCTGTTATCCTCAGAGCACAGTACATGACCTCTCTTTCTCGTTCTCATATCTAGTATGTACAGAGACACAAATCATTTCACTGTCATCATTTGCAGGTGATACTAGAGTTTCCACGAGAGTGACAACTACTGACGACACACTAAGCCTCAGTAATGTAAATATTGTCTTCCAGTGGGCCACAGAGCACAATATGACGTTCAAAATAAAGAAAAAATTCGGCCGTACGCCTCCATGGAGAACTTGCAGAAATAAAAACTAGACCAAGCACAGCACACAATCCCAGACAGAGCAAAAAAATTGTAGCCACGTTTAAAAATCTTTCGTTCAAGAAAGGCAACATTGTTTTTATCACCTTTGTGAGGAAAATGATAAGATGGATGCCAAGAACTTTCAAAACAAGATAAGCCAAGCCAATGATACTGCACTATTGTACTGGAATTATTACTGCACACTAAAAAACTATTTAAGGCTGGCGAAATTGTACAAATGGAAAACTACAGAATTTTTACTGCTGCTCAATTTTGCACACACCCAAATTTTTATTTCCCAAAACCAAAAAACTTGTTTTCCCTGAATCACAGGTTAAAAAAAATTATAAAATTAGCGTGAAAAGCACTGAAGGGAGTGGCTCCCTTCTGATACGGAAAAAATTTACCGAGGGGGGGAGAACATGCCCTGGAAAATCACTTCGATAAAAGAAATGGTTACCTACTAATAAATGAAAGGGGGGTCTAATTTTTCAGCGCCTCTTTTTCAAATGTTATAATTATTATATTTTTTGAAACCCTTTAAGGCAGACAGGATCGACCCCAACGAAGTTGAAAAGATTGATTTCCGGCATAAAAAATGTTATCCCAAAAAACACGTGGGGACAGATCATCAACAAGGAGGCCTGGGTTTGAGTCCGGGTTTGTGATGGGGGGGAAGGGGGGCGATGATCCCAGGAACCATGACCAGGTAATCCAACTGGTAAACGTCTAGGAGGTCGATCTCGATATAAAGGTTTAAAATTCGTTGTTATCCTCTGCGGAGTTGAGAGGGAAGAAATAGAGGGGTCATTTTGGGCTCCTGTGAGAACAGTGACCGTGAGGTCAGTAGCCGTGAAGACAGTGTGTATGTAGCCTTGAGTACAGTGGCCGTTGAGTGAGAACAGTGACAAAGGATGGTTATATATATATATTATATATATATATATATATATATATATATATATAATATTATTATATTTATTATATATTTTATATATATATGTCGTGCCGAATGGCAGAACTTGCGATCTTGGCTTAAATAGCAACGTCATCTTGCCTATAGGACAAGTGAAATTTTGTGAAATGCAATAATTTCGCCAAAATCATTCTGAACCTAACGAAAAAAAAAATATTTCACTGAGTTTGTTTTAGTTTATAAATTATTGTAAAAAAAATCTAAAATATTTTTTTAGTTGGGTTTTAGGCTAAAATAAATTGTTCTTGTTATAAAAAGGGTTAGGTAAGGTTTTTCTAAGTTCCTTTTGGTGGTAAAATTCTAAATTTTTACATCATCATTAATGAAAAAAAATATATCTTTAAAAGTATAAGAGAAAAATTTTAGGAAAGGACTTAATTTTAAAATGAGTTCTTGCTAATTGACCAGTTTTACATACTCGGCACGACATATATATTATATATATATATATATATATATATATATATATTTTTAAAATTATATATATATATATATATATATATATATATATATATATATATATATATATATATAATATATATAAGTGTAATGAACACTTGTCAGTGCCCGAAAAAATTATGCATATTTTGACCCCCTTCTGGGACCCCCTTCATTGCTGAAGAGGACCCCAGAAGGTGTTCGGAATATGCAGATCCAATTAATCTCCTGAGTTATTATAGAGCAGAGAGAAAAGAAAACAAATATACACGAGGAAGCAATAACTTACCTCCTTGAAGACTGGATAGTTTCTGGAGACAAAATACAACCTTCGCCTCACTGAACACCTTCACATACCGAGATAGAGAGAGGAGAGAGGAGGGGAGAGAGAGAGAGAGCGGGGAGGGGAGAGGAGGAGGAGAGGAGAGAGAGAGAGAGAGGAGGAGAGAGAGAGAGAGGAAGAGAGAAATGTCACTTTACATAGTGTAGAGACCTTCACATGTTCTTCATTGTGACATAAGCCGTGTGGGCGATGTCAACGTCACACAACTGTAAACATGACTCCTACCATTCTCACCCCCTTCTCTCTCTCTCTCTCTCCCCTCTCTCTCTCTCTCTCTCTCTCTCTCTCTCTCTCTCTCTCTCCTCTTCTCTCTCTCTCTCTCTCTCTTTCTCTTCTTTCCAAAACATTGCAGTGTTTGAAGAGACATCAAGCGTTAGCTAACGTAACCTTTTTTTTTTTCCATTTTCAGTGAGAGGGGGCGTGATTGCAGTGGTTTGGAGAGAGACTACAAAATTCTCGCTTTTCTACAAGCCTTCACAAACTGGAATATTTTTCATGTAACTGGTCATGCCATTTAGTGGATGTGTTGATGAGAGCAGGCAGTAGGCTGCATTAGCTCTGTTTACAAAGGTGTGGAGATTAGCATACGGCACCCCCCGTGATAGGTGGGTAGTTCACCTTGGACATCCTGGGGCCCCCCAGCCCAGGGTGGGTGAGTCGATCTCGCTAGCGACCATTGTCAGTGAGGGATACACGAGCCACAGGGTTATTGCTGTCCTCAGTGACAAGGCTGGCCGAGCTTGGGGGCTACTTCTCCCAGGGTCAAGTTCCACACACTTCAGTCGAAAGCGCGGTGATTTCACAAATTTTGTGCCATGACCCGGCAGACGTACACAGTACAGTGCTGCAGGTTCAGTCATATATGGTGAGGTTCTTATGCTGGGTCTAGAGGGGGGGCTTTTTAAACTCTCTAGGAACTTGTCTTTTCACACTAGACACTTGTCTTGGCACCTAGAGATTTGTCTTCTTTACTCTAGACGCTGTTTGATCTCTCTAGATGCTTGTCTTGGCACTCTCTGGCTTCCGAGAGCTCCCTAACATTTATCTTCCATGATAGTTGTCAACTCCAAAATGACCTCGTCCGATTCTCCTCGCCTGAACCTGGCTACGGCTTCGAGGGACTTCCTGGCCACTGTGGATTACCCCCTGCGTCCAGTGGTATCCAGGACCTGGGATAAGCCGTCCAGGTCACGGTCACGGTGGAACTGCAGTTACTTCCCGCAGTCATTCCCCGTGTACCGGATGCAGCGGGTGGTGAGCGTTGTGCTGTGCCTGCTGGGTCTGCTGCTTCTCTCTGTGGTTGCCTTCGTCCTGGTACAGGTCACCCCCACCACCCAGATCCTGAGAATGGAACTCACACCCACGCCAGATACGAAAAATAGCAGGCAGCACCTAGTGGCCGATGACAGGAAGTGGGACGTGGGAATAGCAAGGACCGCGAGGAAACTGGAAGACCATCCTGAGTACAAGCGAAGTGTAGAGGAGGTCTACAGTGACGATGAGGCTCCCGACGAAGACGACGACGAGGATGACTTGATATTAAATGAAAGCTACGACGAAAACTATGAGCATCAAGAAGATGACGAGTACAACCCAGTTTTTGACATGAAATACTTCGACTTTTCCATCAAGGAGGGTGAAGGTGACCTCAACGCGGTTGCTAACCGTGGCCAGAATCAGGAAGATAAAAAGAAGGGAAAGAAGATGAGTGAGGATGCAGAATCGAGACACAATGTTGTCGAAGCCTCCAACTCCTTCAAGACCCCTCGAGTGGGACAGAAGTGGACAAACCTGCCGAGAGTTATCCTCGTTAACGACTATGGCGTGGTGGTGGTTGAGGAGGGTGTAGTCTTCTCTGGGGCAGTTGAGGCCATTCTGCAGGAGCCGCAGACGAGTGATGCCTCCGTAGGAGAGGTGCAGAAGCAGCTGAGAATGCGGGAAGTGAGAGGATTACAGGAACCTACCTGGGAGAGGTGTGGGCGGCCCAAGAACCAGTGGGTGGAGCTGAGCGGGGACGTCGCTGCCTGTGCCCGCTACAGGTGAATCTCCACTTGGTACCTGGTCTCATTTTATATTTTTATCTGTGCATTCTTGCAGGTCCACACACACACACCACACACACACACAAACACACACACACCCCACACACACACACACACACACACCACACACACACACAACACACACCACACAAACACCACACACACACACACCAAACACACACACCACACACACAACACACACACACACAACACACACACACACACACACACAACACACACACACACACACACACACAAACACACACACACACACACACACACACACACAACACACACACACACACACACACACACACACACCACACACACACACAACACACACAAAAACACACACACAACACACACCACAACACACACACACACACAAACACACACACACACACACACACACACACACACACACACACACAACACACAACACACACACACACACACACCAAAACACACACAAACAACACACACAACACACAACACACAACACACACACACACACACACACACACACACACACAAAACACACACACAAACAACACACACACACACACACAAAACACACACACACACACACACACACACACACACACACACACACACACACCACCAAAACACACACACACACACACACAACACACACACACACACACACAACACACACACACACACACACACACACACACACACACACACACACACACAAAACACACACACACACACACACACACACACACACACACACCACACACAACACACCACACACACACACACACAACACAACACACACACACACACACCACACACACACACACACAACACACACCACACACACACACAACACACACACACAACACACACAAACACACCACACACCAACACCATCACACACTACACACACAAACACTACACACAACACACACACATTTAACACACACACCATCATGTCACATAATTTACAATTTATATTTGTTACTTTATATACAATATATGACATTACTTTAAACATTTATGTCGGTATATACACCGTGGTGTGTATATTTGTCCATGTATATACACCGAGGTGTGTATATTTGTCCATGTATATACACGAGGTGTGTATATTTGTCCATGTATTTTACACCGAGGTGTGTATATTTGTCCATGTAATATACACCGAGGTGTGTATATTTGTCCATGTATATACACCGAGGTGTGTATATTTGTCCATGTATATACACCGAGGTGTGATTTTTGTCCATGTATATACACCGAGGTGTGTATATTTGTCCATGTATATACACCGAGGTGTGTATATTTGTCCATGTATATACACCGAGGTGTGTATATTTGTCCATGTATATACACCGAGGTGTGTAATTTGTCCATGTATATACACCGAGGTGTGTATATTTGTCCATGTATATACACCGAGGTGTGTATATTTGTCCATGTATATACACGAGGTGTGTATATTTGTCCATGTATATACACCGAGGTGTGTATATTTGTCCATGTATATACACCGAGGTGTGTATATTTGTCCATTTATATACACCGAGGTGTGTATATTTGTCCATGTATATACACCGAGGTGTGTATATTTGTCCATGTTATATACACCGAGGTGTGTATATTTGTCCATGTACATACACCGAGGTGTGTATATTTGTCCATGTATATACACCGAGGTGTGTATATTTGTCCATTTATATACACCGAGGTGTGTATATTTGTCCATGTATATACACCGAGGTGTGTATATTTGTCCATGTATATACACCGAGGTGTGTATATTTGTCCATGTATATACCATAAGAGATCAGTCTCTTGTTTTATTGATCTGATGTACAGGTGACAGATGTGGTGGTGTACAGGTGACAGATGTGGTGGTGTACAGGTGACAGATGTGGTGGTGTACAGGTGACAGATGTGGTGGTGTGCAGGTGACATGTGGTGGTGTACTGGTGAGAATTGTGGTGGTGTACAGGTGAGAGATGTGGTGGTGTACAGGTGAGAGATGTGGTGGTGAACAGGTGACAGATGTGGTGGTGTACAGGTGACAGATGTGGTGGTGTACAGGTGACAGATGTGGTGGTGTACAGGTGACAGATGTGGTGGTGTGCAGGTGACATGTGGTGGTGTACAGGTGACATGTGGTGGTGTACAGGTGACATGTGGTGGTGTGCAGGTGACAGATGTGGTGGTGTACAGGTGACAGATGTGGTGGTGTACAGGTGACAGATGTGGTGGTGTGCAGGTGACATGTGGTGGTGTACAGGTGACATGTGGTGGTGTACAGGTGACAGATGTGGTGGTGTACAGGTGACATGTGGTGGTGTACATGTGACATGTGGTGGTGTACAGGTGACATGTGGTGGTGTACAGGTGACAGATGTGGTGGTGTACAGGTGACAGATGTGGTGGTGTGCATTTGACAGATGTGGTGGTGTACAGGCGAGAGATGTGGTGGTGTACAGGTGACAGGTGTGGTGGTGTACAGGTGACATGTGGTGGTGTACAGGCGAGAGATGTGGTGGTGTACAGGCGAGAGATGTGGTGGTGTACAGGTGACAGATGTGGTGGTGTACAGGTGACAGATGTGGTGGTGTACAGGTGACAGATGTGGTGGTGTACAGGTGACAGATGTGGTGGTGTACAGGCGAGAGATGTGGTGGTGTACAGGTGACAGATGTGTTGGAGTACAGGCGAGAGATGTACTGGTGTACAGGCGAGAGATGTGGTGGTGTACAGGTGACATATGTGGTGGTGTACAGGCGAGAAATGTGGTGGTGTACAGGCGAGAGATGTGGTGGTGTACAGGTGACAGATGTGGTGGTGTACAGGCGAGAAATGTGGTGGTGTACAGGCGAGAGATGTGGTGGTGTACAGGTGACAGATGTGGTGGTGTACAGGCGAGAAATGTGGTGGTGTACAGGCGAGAGATGTGGTGGTGTACAGGTGACAGATGTGGTGGTGTACATGCGAGAGATGTGGTGGTGTACAGGTGACAGATGTGGTGGTGTACAGGCGAGAGATGTGGTGGTGTACAGGTGACAGATGTGGTGGTGTACAGGCGAGAAATATAGCGGTGTACAGGTGACAGATGTGGTGGTGTACAGGCGAGAGATGTGGTGGTGTACAGGTGACAGATGTGGTGGTGTACAGGCGAGAAATGTGGTGGTGTTCAGGCAACAGATGTGGTGGTGTACAGGCGAGAGATGTGGTGGTGAACAGGCGAGAGATGTGGTGGTGTACAGGCGAGAGATGGGATGGTGTACAGGTGAGAGATGTGGTGGTGTACAGGCGAGAGATGTGGTGGTGTACAGGTGAGAGATGTGGTGGTGTACAGGTGTGGACAGGAATGTGGTGGTGTACAGGTGAGAGATGTGGTGGTGTACAGGTGACAGATGTGGTGGATGTACAGGCGAGAGATGTGTGGTGAGTGGTTACAGGTGACAGATGTGGTGGTGTACAGGCGAGGGTAGAGTGTGGTGGTGTACAGGTGAGAGATGTGGTGGTGTACAGGTGACAGATGTGGTGGTGTACAGGCGAGAGATGTGGTGGTGTACAGGTGACAGATGTGGTGGTGTACAGGCGAGAGATGTGGTGGTGTACAGGTGAAAGATGTCGTGGTGTACAGGCGAGATGTGTCGGTGGTGTGTACAGGCGAGAGATGTGGTGGTGTACAGGTGACAGATGTGGTGGTGTACAGGCGAGAAATGTGGTGGTGTACAGGCGATAGATGTGGTGGTGTACAGGCGAGAGATGTGGTGGTGTACAGGTGAGAGATGTGGTGGTGTACAGGCGAGAGATGTGGTGGTGTACAGGTGAGAGATGTGGTGGTGTACACGTGACAGATGTGGTGGTGTACAGGCGAGAGATGTGGTGGTGTACAGGCGAGAGATGTGGTGGTGTACAGGCGAGAGATGTGGTGGTGTACAGGTGACAAATGTGGTGGTGTACAGGTGACAAATGTGGTGGTGTACAGGTGACAGATGTGGTGTACAGTTGACAGATGTGGTGGTGTACAGGTGACAAATGTGGTGTACAGGTAATAGATTTGGTGGTGTACAGGTGACAAATGTGGTGGTGTACAGGTGACAAATGTGGTGGTATACAGGTGACAGATGCGGTGTACAGTTGACAGATGTGGTGGTGTACAGGTGACATGTGGTGGTGTACAGGTGACAAGTGTGATGGTGTAAAGGTGACAGATGTGGTGTACAGGTGACAGATGTGGTGGTTTACATGTGACAGATGTGGTGGTGTACAGGTGACAGATGTGGTGGTGTACAGGTGACAGATGTGTTGCTGTACAAGCGACAGATCTGTTGGTGTACAGGTGACAAGTGTGGTGGTTTACAAGCGACAAATGTGGTGTACGGTTGACATGTGGTGGTGTACATGCGACAGATGTGGTGTACATGTGACAGGTGTGGTGGTGTACAGGTGACAGATGTGGTGGTTTACAGGCGACAGATGTGGTGTGCAGGTGACATATGTAGTGTACAGGCGACAAATGTGGTGTACAGGCGACAGATGTGGTGGTGTACAGGTGACGGATGCAGTGGTGTACAGGTGACGGATGTGGTGGTGTACAGGCGACAGATGTGGTGGTGTACAGGTGACGGATGCAGTGGTGTACAGGTGACGGATGTGGTGGTGTACAGGTGACAAATGTGGTGGTGTACAGGCGACAGATGTGGTGGTGTACAGGTGACGGATGCAGTGGTGTACAGGTGACGGATGCAGTGGTGTACAGGTGACGGATGTGGTGGTGTACAGGTGACGGATGTGGTGGTGTACAGGCGACAGATGTGGTGGTGTACAGGTGACGGATGTGGTGGTGTACAGGCGACAGATGTGGTGGTGTACAGGTGACGGATGCAGTGGTGTACAGGTGACGGATGTGGTGGTGTACAGGCGACAAATGTGGTGGTGTACAGGCGACAAGTTAGTGGAGCCTAGTAACCACCCCGCAGTCACTAGGCTTTAAACCTAGCACCCTACCATGCAGACTGGGTATATATACATTGAGAGGTGTGTTTCTCTCAGTATACACACACTTCTAAATGTGACTCCACCTCAGTCTTCCCCACCGTCACCACTACCCCTACCACTCTCAAGGTTATGTACATGGGTGGAGTGCCGCGCAGCTCACTGTTGAGGGTATTCTAATGGCAAGGTCCTGGGTTCGATTCTCTATCACATAGAGGTTGGTTTCCTTACACCTCTGCGGCCCCTGCCTATGTCGTTATAAAAAATAAGTACCTGTATTTTAGCCCAATGTTGTGAGTAGCATCCAGGGAAAAAGTGTGTTAGAAAACTCCAGTACCTGCTGGAATGTTACATCCGATGTGAGAAAACTTTCTGATCGTGTGTGCAAGAGATTCCAGCACTTGCTGGAAGTATCCAAGTGCTGTGTTAAGGGTAGCCATATACATAATTAATGAAAAGAAAAATCCCTCCACGTCCCCTCTTCCATCATCAGGTGATGGAGCCAATTTTGTAAAAAAAAAAAAAAAAAAAATCTTCACCTAAGGTTCCTCTTTCCAGGTATCCTGATGACTACCTACTGCTGGGTGAGGTACTCAGCTTCTACCTAGCCAGACTTCTGGGTGTGGGCCACGTGCCCCCAGTGGCTCTGAGCGAGCCCTCCACGCCTCGCTGGGCCTCCGTGGCCTCCAAGATGACCCTGGCTGGATGGGGAGACGCTCCGGTCGTGGTCCTCACCCCCTGGATTGACGACTTGGTCAGGTTGGTGTCTGTCTTGTACCTCTCCTACTAATAGGACGTGCGTGTCTACACCCATTACAGTGTACTGATTTCTTCCCAACGGGACGCCAACAGCAACAGTCTAGTTCCTGCAGCCTCCGGAGGTCACCGCCCCCGCGGCCCGGTCCCAGACCAGGCCTCTCGGTGGATCCTGATCGATCATTCTGTTAGTGCCCGCCGCCCCCATTTGCAACGCATGCACCACAGCCCTTCTGATCAGGAACTGATCAGGATTTCCCATTCAAAAGTACAGAAAAAACGCGAATATTTTCTTGCTGCAAATGTCAAAAACTAGAATTACAAGTAAGGTCAGGAGATTTTTAGGCGTAGCAGGTTACTTTAGGAGACATATTAAAGCCTTTGCAGAATTAGCTGCCCTATTGACGGAGCTACTTAAAAAGAAAGCAAGCTAGTGAAAAGAAGAACAATAGTTAGTTCATGGGAAATTGAAAGCAGAGTTCATATGTACGCCAATACTAGTGGTTCCCCATTTTTCCATAGCATTTAAGATACAACTAAAGACTCATCAAGCACTGACGAGGGTCTCTGGTAAACCAGAAATATTAACGTTTTTTCTGCACTGTTGAATGTGGATTATTCGTATACTGTCAATTGTGTAGTTTACTCAACCTAAAGTTATGTATAATTAGTCGAAACAGCAGAAACTGATGACTTAGTCTAACAGCGTGGTACACTGGTTTTGGTTTTCCACACGTGCTGACCAAGGTGGAGGATGGACTGTGTTGTGAAATGCTGTTAGATTACTGTAGTTATTTGTATGAGTTTACGCAGAGGAGGGAGGTGAACTTCGGCTGTTGATCCAGTAAAAGAGAAGTATCCAGCTAGATGTTGGACCAGAGTATTATCATAACGTTCACGCTTTACCTGGAGCCATTTCCGGAGGTTCCTGCCCCCGCGGCCCGGTCCTAGATCATACCTCACTATAAGAACAAGAATAGAGGAGCATTACAACAAGCTTGCTGGCCCACGTTAGGCAGATCGTACTTACACTTAAATATTTTCGTAACGTATTTATTTTTAACGTTACGTTATCAATTTTAATGGCGCTACTAACCAGTTTGCCTCACTCATTTACATCTCTACTACGAAATCTACTTTCTTATATATTTTCTTAATTTAAATTTATCCAAATTCAATCTATATTTTCGAGTTCTTGCTTGGTAAGATAGCTTGAATACACCTATTTATACATTCTTTATTTACACTTTTTTTTTGTTGAAAACCTAAATATCTCCATTGCCACATAAATGAAATTTATTTTAGCTAGAGAAGAACCAAAGTGCAGACATTCAAAGTCCGGAATGTCAACGGTAGCCTCCTGAATACAGATGTCGTGTTAATGTCACATTCGTCTGTTTACCCTCCATCTCCTGTCGTTTCTCTGGTATTTGTATGCAGTTCTTCCTGTGGTGACGCGGGCGTTTATTTGCGTCCACCTCCAGGGTGGCCGCAAACTGATGCTAATGTAAGGAAAGACTAGTTGTTTGGGAGAGAGAGTAGCAGAAACAAACACTGCCTTGCTCAACATAAGCAAGGAGCCTGGGCCTCTGTACAGCTGTGACTTAAACACCAGCTCGAGATACTTGATCTCATCTCTCCATTCCTTTTGCATACCTAGACTTAGGCCTCAGCTAAACAACCACATATATACAGCTATTAACCCACTATTTGTTATTGTTTTATGCTTGAGTTTATGAATTATGTTATTGGAGTTTATGAATTATGTTATTAGGCTAGTTATTGTAACATTGTTAGGTTACACTTGTCTATTTTTATTGTAGTATGATTGTTTATAATATTCTTTACACAAACCAGTTATTCAGTTTGGTAATCTTTTATTTTTTAGCAGTGTGTGTATATGTGTGTATTTATGTTTAATTGTGTATGACAAAGATTTATATACATTTTTAATATAGTCACTTACTCTCCCCACTCCGACTGTTTCTTAGTATTATAGCAACAATGATCGTACACTATATGCACTGTATATATGTATGAATTTCTTGGTATATGTGTTTTTCGTCTCTCTTCTCTGTTGTGACGATGAGTCATAAATTATATTTCCTCTGAACATGAACTAGACCATCTAGATTCTAGAGCGAGATGATTCCCAGGTTATTGTAACTCCAGCCGTACCTGCTCTCAGCACAGTGGAATTTTCTGACGATAGACTCATCCTCTTCAAGATGTTTTTGATATCATACTGATGGATTTCATAACCTAATGTGAGAAAATTATACCTAGCTTTTGTTTCCACTGTGTAGCTGTGAAGTAGAGTAGCCTAGTAGCCTACTGCGGGTGCACCTAATTTTGTGCAGTGTGAACTTGATTCCCACTCTTCACCTCCCTTCTCTCACCTGCTTTATCTGTCGCACCTCCCTTAATCTCTCTGCCAATTATTCTCCACCCTTATTCACACATCCACATTACCTTCCCAAGTATGGACCTACCCCAATATCCCTCACCTCTACCCATCCTCTTCCATAGGTAACCTCACCTCAACTATAACATAAAAACTATATTTCTGCAAGTGCATGGTACAAGGTATCCAGTCCTAGCTGATATCAGTGACGTACTACTATATACAAAATCCTTGTTATGCAGAGCATTTCGGGCAAATTAGGTCAGTTTTGTCCCAGGATGCGACCCACACCAGTCGACTAACATCCAAGTACCCAGTTTTACTGACGGGTGAACAGGGACAACCGGTGTAAGGAAACATGCCCAATGTTTCTACCCTTTGATGAGAATCGAATCCGGACCCTCACCGTGTGAAGCGCGAGCTTTTGCCACCCCATCCACTCCCACTTACCCAACTTGCCTCAAGTAACCAATTTCCACTCAGATTAACACAGTTATCTCTGCTGTCGCTAGTAAAAGCAACTTGTGCCCCGCCTCACCGGCACTGCTGTTTACACGCATGTATGACTACACTCATGTGAATGACTATCTAAAGAGCTGCTAGCACTTCGTCTCTTTTAATCCCAGTTAAGCAACCCAGACAGACTGCTATTAACTCTCTCCTTCAAGGGAAATAAGCAACATTGCTTGGCGCTATTTGGCCTCCTCCCTTCCCTCTACCCTCTAGCCTTCCCACTTCACTCTCCTTCCACCATTCCACTCCACCCTTTCTCCCCTCTTACCCTGTCCTACCTCCCTCCCGTGCCACTCCTAACACACTTCCATCGTAACTGATGGAGGAAGGGATTGGGGTGGGGAAGGTTGTAGTCGGTTACAAAGTTATCATCACTGCCGTGGAGGTGGCGTCGTCCTGGCTCCACTTGTACATATAGGAGGATTAATGGGAGCTTGTTGCCCCCGGCGTGCAGTGGTAAGACTCAAGGTTTTAAATGTTAGCATAGTATAGCAGAGTTCTCCTGTGTGAGAGCTCGATTACTAGCGCACTCAGCTCACACACAGGGGTCTGTGGTTCGATCCCCGGTACGGGTGACAGCATTAGGGCGTGTTTCCTTAAGACACCTGTCTCTGTTCACCTTATCAGCGAAATGCATATTGCCATGCGAGTACTTTAACCAAATTCAACTTCAACAACAAGAACATAAACTGGGACCAGGTTAACTATGTCCTAAATGAAACATGATGGGAAAATATCTGAAATGACATGAACCCTAACCAGTGCCTTGAAAAGATCAACTTCCTGGTAGCTGAAGTATGTTCAAGGCATATTCTCCTAAGAAAAAAGAAGAGAAGAAGTAAACTGAAGAGAGACGCTCCCTCTACAGGAGAAGGCGAAGAATCACTGAGCTTCTCAAGAATGCCAGATTATCTGAAGCACAGAAGGAAGCGTTAACTGAGCAAAAGTTGAAGGACTCGTACAGGATCCAGGAGAGACAAGAGGAGCTAAAAGTGATTAGTGAAATTGAAATAAATTCGAAATATTTCTTTTCATATGCCAAAAACAAGGCAAAAACCACTTCTAGTGTAGGACCCCTGATCAGACAAGACGGATCCCTACACAGATGACAACAAAGAAATGAGTGAGATACTGAAATGTCAATATGACTCTGTGTTCAGCGAGCCACTAATCAGTCTAAAGATAGACAATCCAAACAATTTTTTCATGAATGAGCCTCAAAACCCTGCCAATGTAGGCCAAATTTCTGACATAACCCTAACTCCACTAGACTTTGAGAAAGCCATCGACGACATGCCCATGCACTCAGCCCAGGCCCAGACTCATGGAACTCTGTGTTCATGAAGAACCGCAAGAAACCCCTCTCACGGGCCCTAAGTATGCTATGGAGAAGGAGCATAGACACAGGTGAGATTTCACAGCCACTAAAAACAACGGGTGAAGCCCCACTCCATATAGGTGGCAGCAGAGCAATAGCTAAGAACTATAGACCAATAGCTTTAACGTCCCACATCATAAAAATCTTTGAAAGAGTTAAAAGAAGCAGGATTGCAGCATGGTGTCAGAGCAGGTCGCTCTTGCTTCTCGCAACTATCAAACTACTATGATATGGTCTTGGATGCACTGGAAAACAAACAGAATGCAGATGTAGTATACACAGATTTTGCAGAAGTCTTTGACAAGTGCCATCATGGTGTAATAGCACACAAAATGCGTGCTAAAGGGATAACTGGCGAAGTAGGCAGATGAATCTTCAACTTTCTAACAAATCGAACATAAAGAGTAGTGGTAAACAGAGTTAAATCGGAAGCTGCAATAGTGAAGAGCTCTGTCCCACAAGGCACAGTAAGAACATAAGAACGAAGGAACACTGCAACAGGCCTACTGACCCATGCGAAGCAGGTCCATACCACCCCCCTCGCTCTTATTCTGTTCCTCATTCTCATATCAGACATAGACAGAGATGTAAACCATAGCATCGTATCATGCTCTGCAGACGATACTAGTAGGATCTGCATGAGACTGTCATCCATTGAGGACACGGAAAATCTCCAAGAATTTATAAACCAAGTTTTCCAATGGGTAACGGAGAACAATATGATGTTCAATGAAGACAAACTCTAACTACTCCGTTATGGAAAACTGGGGGAAATAATAACTAGGACTGAGTATATTACAAACTTTAATCACACAATATAACGGAAAAATAATGTGAAGGACATGGATGTGGTAATGTCCGAAGATCTCGCCTTCAAGGACCACAACAATGCCACTATCATATCTGCGAGGAAATTGATAGGATGGATAATGAGAACATTCAAAACAAGAGATGCCAAGCCATTGATTATACTTTTTAAATCACTTGTTCTCTCTAGGCTAGAATACTGCTGTACATTAACATCTCCGTTCAAGGCAGGTGAAATTGCAGATATAATGTGCAGAGAACTTTTACTGCACGTAAAAGTTCCATCAAACACCTTAACTACTGGGAACGTCTGGAAGAACTTGACTTATACTCACTGGAGCGCAGGCGAGAGAGATATATTATAATCTACACCTGGAAGATTCTGGAGGAACTGATCGCTAATCTGCGCACAGAAGTCACTCTCTACGAAATCAAGGCTCGGCAGGCGATGCAGTATACCTTCAGTGAAGAGTAGGGGTACCACTGGCACACTAAAAAAAGCACAATAAGTCTCCGGGGCCCAAGGCTGTTCAACAGCCTCCCACCAGCCATAAGGAGAATTACCAATAGACCCCTGGTTGTCTTCAAGTGGATGCTGGAGAGATACCTAAAGTCAGTGCCGGATCAGCAGGGCTGTGGTTCGTACGTTGGACTGCGTGCGGCCAGCAGTAACAGCCTCGTTGATCAGACCCTGATCCACCAGGGGGCCTGGTCATGGACCGGGCCGCGGGGGCGTTGACCCCCGGAATGCCCTTCAGGTAGACTCCAGGTATCAGTAAAATAAGCACCTGGGTGTTCGTCGATTGGTGTGGGTCGCATCCCGGGGATAAAATTGACCTAATCTGTTCGAAATGCTCTTCGTAACCACGAGCTTTCTATATAATAAGTAGTATGGCAGCTAGGCCTGTATACATCGTAATATAGAAATGAAGATTATGGGTCATTTGTTTTCAGTTTTTCTTTTGTCATCTTGTTTTTCTTAGGTTAATGAGATACCAGTAATAACAACTAGCGAAATGGTATACATAGGCGAGACTGAGGGGAATCGTGGTGCGAGAATTACTTGTGATATAAATACAGTAAAATATGTGTGGAAACCTTGAGTCATACCATAAAGTGAGAGGATGAATAATGTAAACAGTAAACCATAGAATCAGCCCTTATACCACAGCATTTCAGGTCACTGGAAACCAGATATTATCTCTGAATTCAGTTTTAAAATCACATTGTGTATGACCCAGACGAGTGATTACCTGGAGATTACCTGGAGAGAGTTCCTGGGGTCAACGCCCCCGCGGCCCGGTCTGTGACCAGGCCTCCTTAGGTCAGTGTCCCAGGATGCGACCCACACCAGTCGACTAACACCCAGGTACCCATTTTACTGATGGGGAACATAGACAACAGGTGGAAAGAAACACGTCCAATGTTTCTACTCTGGCTGGGAATCGAACCCAGGCCCTCGCCGTGTGAAGCGAGAGCGTTAACCACCAGGCGTTTGTTTTGGTATAAAATAATAATATAATAATAATAATAATAATAATAATAAATAATATAATAATAATAATATAATATAATACCAATAATAATAATAATAATAATAATAATAATAATTAATATAAATAATAATAATAATAATATAAATTTTAACAAAATTTAAATTCAGATCTCTATTTCGATGGACCAGACGTTTCGGAACTACACTGACCTCCAGCCTGAGATCTCATTAACACACCCAGATGTAATTTAAATACTTGACGACTCAAGCCAAGCTCTGTCCACACAAAATGCTACTCCACACACACACACACACACACACACACACACCACCACAACACCACACACACACACACACACACACACACACACACACATACATACATAAATATCCTGTGTAAGGGGCATCCATGTAATTTGTTTGTCTTTGGCTTCATGTAAAGTTATAATGTATATAATTGTATTGATTATTTTCATTAATTTAACATTGCCTAAAATTTTACATATCAGTTTTTGATTATTCTTGTTTCATGAAGGTTAATTTCCGTTTTCGCTCAACTAGAAGTAAGATTGTCGACAAACATATACAGCAATTATCATATTATTATGCGATTACAATATGTGTAATAACATTAATGGCAATTTAAACAATGAGTGATGTATATAGTAATACTAATACTATAATGATAATACAATATTTCTTAATTTGGCCAGGGACCATATGCCTACCATTCTCCTTGATATTATCCTCAAGAACTCCACCTTATGTATCCTGGAGGAGGAATCGCCGAATGAAGAGCCTAGCGAAGACCTGCAGGGACATAAACTTTATGGAGTGTCCAGACTCGAAGATCAGAAACTCGTGACGCAGAGAAGCGAAGTGGAGGTGAAGGAGGGTAGGAAAAAGAAGCAGGAGGCGAGAGGGAGCAGGTCTCTGAAGCAGGCGTCGGAGAAGGACCTAGTGCGTCTGTTACAGTGGAGCGACCTATTGGTCTTCGACTACTTAACGGGGAACTACGATCGTGTGGCTTACATGCAGGATGCTGCTGAGAAGGAGAGTAGACCCCAGATACTGACTGGCACCATCCATAACCTGGTAAGGAACTAAATGTTTGCTTACAACTGTTGCCCTTCTTTACTTAGCAGATTTAGATTTTGCCGCCGATGATACTAGTTAATTGTGCACCCGTATATCCATCCTGTGGTCAGTAACGCAAGATCATACACTAAAGGCCTAAGAACGGGGCCCCAAAAGGGTCTGCAAGATTACAACTGGATTTATGTCTCAAGTGATTTATGGAAGGAATTACTAGTGATGAGCTTCTCGGGAAGGGCTTGCAGGTATGTGATATCAAATGAAAACATCTTCCATTGAAGGGTGAAACGCTCTTGTCTACAGTAATACAGTTTGTGTAGGTTGTTAAACTTAATATAATTGCATGTTTTCACGACCTAATTTAGATCTATATACATTTACCTGTAAACATTTACCAAGATTTGTAGTGACAATGTCTAGTTCATTTCTTAACATTCTAATGTCAAGTACAGTATTATTCTCAATAATCCTATCACTGGTACTAGGAACACCAAGCTCCTTCCTCATATTAAGAACCTTGGTATATCTAGGACAGCCAAGAATAATTCTGAGGGCTTATTTTGCTTTAGCTCCAAGGGCCGGATTGAATTTTCCTTAGCTAATATTAACATGGGCGCAGCATAATCAATTAAGACTAATATAAGCTATGTGTACCAGTCTCACTATTCTCACATTAGCACCATAGTTGGGGGGTTGTAACCACCAACAGTTTTGATAGTATTTAGCCTATCTTTGTAATTTTTATTTACATGCGATATGATGTATTTATTGAAGAGATGCAAACATTTGTCCTGTTGTATGGGTGAGAATAAAATAAATAGCTTGCGGATAGATAAATGAAGATAAAATACCTGGAGTTTACCTGGAGAGAGTTCCGGGGGCCAACGCCCCCGTGGCCCGGTCTGTGACCAGGCCTCCTGGTGGATCAGAGCCTGATCAACCAGGCTGTTACAGATGAAACAAATGGACTCCTCTGTTCAGAATGAAAGTTGGAGGCTTGATAAGGCAGTAAAAGTGTTGGAGGGATGGAGAAAATATTTTGAGAAACTGGTGAACGTAGAATGACGAAACAGGTAAAGGAATGAGATTATTAAAATCAGTGAAAAGGTGGAAGTGTGTATAGAGGAAGTGAGTGAAGCAATAAGTAGACAGAACGTAAGATAACCACTAGGAAAGAATAGATTAAGATAAGACAATCTGGTTATATTTTGATTCTGAGGCATCTACTTTACTGTGTATAACATTTTAAGGAGGATAGAACAGGGGTATATGGATACATACAAAGCCTCGGAATTAAGCTCTAAAGAGAGTTTTGCAGTTATACATTTGGTTAAGTACTTTTTACAAATTATAATTCATTTATCTGTTAAAAACAAATTTTAGATATTCGGAATTTAAGGTATCATGTTCTCAAATAAAATACCTTGACATATCATGTATGTTAAAATAAAATACCTTGATATATCATGTATGTTATAATAAAATACCTTGATATATCATGTATGTTATAATAAAATACCTTGACATATCATGTATGTTATTACGCTATCTTTTTATTCCTAAATAAGTGAAAAATAATGCACATACTACCCAAGAAAATGAACACAAGGCTGACTACATTACTTTTCATTAGTTGATCATAATTTGTGTATGTGATCAACCGCCAGAAATTCTTGTAACCACACCTGAGCCTTGCTACTGCAACATTTGTATTATGTTGACAATGCAAGTTGCTCCGTATATGTTTATCTATGCTCAATAATAACCCAAATGGAGACAGAAACTCAGATTAATTGATATGTATAGTATTTCGACTCCTTTCTGGGATCCTCTTCAGCAGATGAAGAGGATCCCAGAAGAGGACGGGGGTCGAAATATACAGATCAATTAATCTGAGTTTCTTTTTCCATGTGGGTTATTACTGAACATTGACAAGTGTTTATTATACTTTAGTTATTCGTATTTATGTTCATGTTAAAATGTGCTGTCGATCTACTTAAGCTTCTGACTGCAGTTCGATGTCATTCAAATTCATTATTTAACTCTCTCTAACACTTGTAACCTGAAGATCAATTGGAAGTGTTGCTTGATCCTTTCGAGACACGACAAACCTCAAGAAATAGGCTAGTTTGGGCAGGATAAGAAGGCACCTTGAGAAAGTGCAAGGTATCATGAGCATTCTTATCATCCAGTCTCAAGTCCATCCTCTTTAGATCATATAGTTGTTTCTCAAAGATCCGTCAAAATGACTTTCTTCCTCAAAACATCTAGTCTTCGCCGTATCTGCCTGAAACAAAATGGGAACGAGGATAATGCATTCTGACTATCTCGAAACCACCTCTATTTACTAGATTAAATTAGTTTTTGGAGTCCAGTTTTAATGCTGCCGTATCTTTTAGAAGCTCACTGGTGAAACCCTTGTCTACACGAGCTGCTGTTTCACTACAACGAGGGATTCCTCCACCCCCGAAGCCAATCTTATTTAGTCACAGCATTATGGCAGCTTCTCTGCTGGTGCTATGCAATATTTGTTTTGGCATAGAGGTGTTGCTGGGTGTTACCTACCGCAATGGGCTTAATTCCCCCGTCCTATTTCAGGGAGCATATGGATGGAACAATAAGAGGAACTCTGCAGGAGTACCGAGAATTAGTCCATCTCTATATATATATAGTAAGAGGATGAGGTAGTACTCCTGTATAACCTTGCCCTCTTCCCTTCTCTCCCCTCACTTTCCCCCTTTCCCTACATAGCTAGACAGGAATATCATCATCGCTTTGCAAGCATATAATTCTTGCAAAAACGCAGGTTCAAGGTTGGAGACACTGGCTACCCTGGGTGTGTGCATCCTTTACAGCAATTATATATTAGCTCGTAATTATTCTGATCGTGCCAACTGTGTTGCTCTATTTCAGTTTTTACTCAGATGAGTTTTAATATTTTTTTGCTGTCAGTATAGCTTTCATTACGTCTGTCTCGACGGTTCTTATGTTGATAGAGGGAGGAATCAGGTTGTCAGCTCTGGGAAAATCGCTTATTGATCTGATGACCGATGAGGCTGGCGACTTGCCGTCTCTCGCCGCCACTGCTAAACTAACGATGCCAAACAGTATCAAGTTGTGCTTTGCCTTGGTAGTACATTGAATTTGTTGATAATGTAGATCCTCCTTGCACTTTCTTAAAAAAGGCTCATGCATATATACCTTGCCTGCTGCATGTGGGCGAACTGCGCCTGGAATCTGGTGCAGTGTGTTGGCTGCAGAGGATCTGATTGCCTCCGGCAGATCATATGATGGGATGAAATTGGCAGAGATGCTCTCAGCAGCTTACGGCGCTGCTCTCAAGGGAACCAATCATAAACGTTGTGGTAGAGAGAGAGAGAGAGAGAGATAAAGAAAGAATATGCATTTCTGTCTGAATATATTAAGAAACACGGGAAAGTAAAGGGGATATTAAGTGCAAGTAAGAGTTTGCAAGATTTTCCTGTTAAATTATGTGTTCATAAGGCAGAAAGAGACCAGCTACTCTGCCAGAGTGCAAAACATTTAGCAAACTTCCGTCTCAGCCTCATGAGACAGGACTGTATTACGTCCTGGGATGAGTTATCTACCAACCTACCGGGTATCACCTGTTCGGTTTCCATTTATAACCCTATGTTGTGATCCCTTTCGTGTTGAACACTGTGTCCTTGCCAACCTTCTAAGTACCCCTGAGTATCATGCATGTCATTAACACATCTCCCCTGGCTCTTCCCTTTCCCAGTAATGTGAGCTTCAGTGTTCCTTGCAGCTCTCCTTCCCAGCTTCTGGATATGCTTGAAGCTTCTCAGTTTTTATTTTTTTTTTGAGCTCCTCTCTGCGCTTGAATGTCATGTTTCCTCCACCTCTAACACTCAATTTTTTTTGTAAAATTTCTTTTAAACATTTTCATTAATAATTTTTCACTCGATCTACCTTGAAACTTACTTATTAACTACTCTGTAGGTAAAAAAATATGTCGTAATCTTTTGGATGTCCCGTAGCTCGGTTGGTAGCGCACTTAGCTCACACACTGCGTGTTCGTTGCTCGATCCCTGGCACGGGTGGAAGCATTTATTATTATTATTATTATTATTATTATTATTATTATTATTATTATTATTATTATTATTATTATTATTATTATTATATACGCTGCAATATTCTTTATACGTGTGTGCTTGTGTATATGTATCTGTGTATGTGCGTGTGTGTTGTGTGTGTGTGTGTGGTGTGTGTGTGTGTGTGTGTGTGTTGTGTGCGTGTTTGTGTGTGTGTATGTGTATGCATACTCACCTATATTCAACTATATGTGGTTGCAATGGTCGGAGTCACAGCTCCTGGCCCCGCCTCTTCGCTCGTCGCTACAGGTCTACTCTCTCCCAGCTCCAAGAGCCTTATCATACCTCTTCTTAAAGCAATGTATGGATGCTCCCTCCGGTACTTCACTCTCCAGATTGTTCCATTTCCTGAATAATCAGAAACTGAAGAAATACTTCCTAACATCCCTATGATTCATCTGAGTTTTCAACTTCCATTTATGTCACATTGTTGCTGCGTCCCATCTCGGAAACATTCTAGCCCTGTCCATCTTGTCGATTCCTCTCAAAAACACATTTTGGCCCTGGAGGTCAGAAATATGTAAAATGGATCGATAAGAATCAGAAATAATGTTGATGGAATTATCGACAATATGTTAGGTAAAAGGGCACAAGTGCAACTAATGTGGCATTTTATTGTGGCAACGTTTCGCTCTCCAGGAGCTTTGTCAAGCCATTACAAACATGGACTCACAGGGTATGTATAGGTGTTAGAGTGAGGTGTAAAAATATAATTGTGTAGGTAGTGGTATTGGTAGTAGTAATAGTACTATTACTGCTAATAATAGTATTACTACTACTAGTAGTAGTACTTGTAGTAGTAGTAGTAATACTACTTATAGTAGTACTGGTAGTAGCTTATAGTAGTACTACTACTGGTAGTAG